TTTAAAAGAACACGTGACCCATGTTCCACTCCCGAGACTTTACATCTGGGGGTCTCTCACTCCTTCCAGCGCTTTTTAAAAGCGAGCAGGGAATCTTCACACAATGGGTGGATGTAGGAAAATGCCAAACAAAAAGCTTTTTATATGACGGAACCGAGAGCTGTAAAGAGACATCTGGACGGGTCATTGGAATTTATCGGAAATTCACAGTCTTTTAAAGATTTATATATAGAGATATGCATCTCAATCAGCCTGATGTAACAAGGATGATGGCTGCTCATGCAGATTGCCACTAGAGGGAGCTCTGCAAATCAGTACATGAAATATGAGGATAAAAATATAGTACAGCAAAAAAGGAAAACACTTAATCACCTTTTGGGAACTTTCTAAATAAAGAATTTATGCTCATTTTATTGTGGACTAAATAGGGTTTAGACTGAACCCGGACCTAGGCTCCTCTGAATTTAAAAGGAAGGAAAGAATTTCTGTGCTGTCCAATTAGCTATCAGCAGAAAATTCCATGACCACAGCTTGACAAAAGCAAAGGAGCCGGTTCTAGTGATGTCATTGACCTTATATGGTACATGCCTATATGGTACATGCCTATATTTGGTTAATGACATTTACCTAATATGGCAATGTGGCCATATTGATGATTGCAAATGATGGCAGCACAAAATCAGGCCCCTTTGTTTACATGCAGCTGCAGGGTGGGAATTACTGGGTGGAAGTGCCTTGTATAGAGAAGCTCAGGTTTGGACAGAGTTTGGTCCTATAGAGAGATACAAAGTAATATTGTTTATAAACATTGATCAGAGGGAGATAGAGAGATACAAAGTAATATTGTTTATAAACATTGATCAGAGGGGAGATAGAGAGATACAAGTAACATTGTTTATATACATTGATCAGAGGGAGATAGAGAGATACAAGTAACATTGTTTATAAACATTGATCAGAGGGAGATAGAGAGATACAAGTAACATTGTTTATATACATTGATCAGAGGGAGATAGAGAGATACAAAGTAACATTGTTTATAAACATTGATCAGAGGGAGATAGAGAGATACAAAGTGACATTGTTTATAAACATTGATCAGAGGGAGATAGAGAGATACAAATTAACATTGCATCAATCCTCATATAATGTCAGCTAAAACAACCTGACAAGTAAATTAAAAAAATGTTCCTAAATTTTCCCTTATTAACTCTTGCTTAACTATCATTTTTCGTTGATTGTTGAATTTTTTTGTTAAATACAAACACAGAGGAAACCCCTCCGAACATGGAAAGAAGCTGCGGCTGGGGAATTCCCCGCCCACAGCTTCATGTAAGCAAAGGGGTGGGATGCAATTATATCATTGACCTTATATGGCCACATGACTGTATATGGTCAATGACTGGAACCCAATTCGGCCATGTGGCCATATAAGGTAAATTATGTCAGCACAAGCATCCCAGTCCTTTGTTTATGTGCAGCTCTGGTGCAGGGAATGCCCCAGGCTGCTGCTGATTGGGCGGGTGGCCCATTGCACTTCTTTGTTGGGAGGAGCTCAGATTTTGACAATTTTTAGTCAGCCTTAAAGGAGAACTATGAGGTGAGTGCTTTTCACTCACCTCATAGTTCTAGCCGACCTGTGACAATGAGACTGTCACAGGTCGGCTCAGTAGATCGGGAGGTGAGCGAACACATACCGGCGTTCGCTCACCTCTCAATCCTGTCACAGCTCTCTGCAGTGACAGGGGAGGGGCTGGATTCCCCCCTCCCCGCTCCGATCCGCCAGCGCTGACTGGCGGAACGGACGGGGGAGGGGACGGGTACAGCTGGCTCTGCCTTTAGATAGGCAGAGCCAGCTGTCAGTCACGCAGCTGGGCGGATCCCGGCACAATTGTCGGGATCCACTTCAACTGCGGCGTCTCAGTATACCGCAAGCTACAACTCGCGCTATACTGAGCCTAGGGTGACGGGAGGACGCTAGTTTGTGTCCTCCCGTTACCCTAAGGAGAACTATGGGGAAAAGACTTAACCTCATAGTTCTCCTTTAATGAACATGCAAATTACATTTTTAATAAAACCTTTCTCATTATTAATACATATTTTATTTTATATTTTATTTTGAGCCAATGTGATGTCATCACTGGGTCTGTGTGCTTCCCTATGCTAGGGACAGTCAGACTGGTGAGGAAATGGCTAAATAATGCTGGGCCTCCTCTAGCCAGGAACAAAGTGTGCAGCTTCTATGAGAGAAGCTCACAGTGTGCAGTGAAATCACAGTAAGCAATGCCAGTCCAGGAGAGGAGCTAATACAACTGTGCAAATTTGAAGGACAGCGTTCAGCTTTCGATAAATCTGGGGCGCGGTGTAGGGGACTATGTATATAATTACACCATGACTGTGCATTCAGGAATAGCCAGAGGACTCGCGAGACAGGAATGTAGTTTCTCCTGAACCCGGCGATGCATTTTCATCCATCACAGTTGCTTGCGCACGTTCGGCGCTTGGGGGATACCAGCCAGTTAATGGTTAAATAGCGAGCTCACACCAGAGTGATTTATAAACCGTCTTTAATGAGCTATTAGGGGGGCGTTGGATTCTGACACCGGCCTAGAATGTCTTTTATGTGCAGTGTATGTCAGTTTTAGCACTTTGGGCATCACCAGGAAACATAAAATCTAAAACATACATCCATATTTGTAAAAGGCAACATCATACCCCAGAAGTGCCAGAGAAATTGGCAGGATATGAAAGGAAGACAAGGCTTTAGAGGCGACCAATGGAGGCAGCAAGTTTGGCAGCTCTCAGTGACCACTTCAAGAGGATTTTTCTCATTACATTGAAAGGAAGGGGAAAGGGAGGGCAGACAAAAAAAAAAAGGATGAGGAGGGGATGAGAAACTGGATCAGAACGAAGACTGCGGAGTAACTGACATATATGGCCTGGCAAGAGCGACATTCGAATCAATTATTCCTGCCCAACTCTGCCGTCCTACCGAGCGCCTTAAAGGAAACCTGAGAAAAAAACACTGGCTGTCATCGTTGAGCCCCTTTGAAAATGCTGGTTTCCTGGCTGTTATCCTGATCCATTGGATTCGGTACTTGCTGAAATGCTGTCCTTTAACAAGTCAGTAACTCAGAAAGTATTGAGGACAGGAGCAGCCAGTCAGCTTGCATTTCCTGAAGGAGGTCAGCAATGACAGTAGTGGGTGCTGTGGGTAAGTGACCGGTGCCCATTACTGCCCCTACCAAAACGGTTTCATGCAAGGCAGAAGAAAGTGCTGGCGAAGAGGTGCAGAAGGGCATTTGTTCACAGAGCATTTAAAAAGCATCAAAAAGTTTTCTCAAGGTCATCCGACCACTTTGTGCTTAAAGAGAACCTGTCATCAACTCAGAATATGGCAGGTAAATCCTATGACCTGATGTCAAGATAAATAAACCTTGACTGGCTTCCCAGCCAATTAGCATCGAGCCGGCTGTTCGGCCAGCTCAATGCTGATTGGCTAGGAAGCCGGCTTTCCAGCCAATCAGTAAGGAGCTGACTGTTCTGGCCGGCTCGATGTTGATTGGCCAGGAAGCCAGCTTCCCAGCCAATCAGCATGGAGCCGGCTTCCCCCGCCAATCAGGAAGCCGGGAGGCGGGTCATTTCTCACCACCCAGCTTCTTGATTGCCCAGGGAGCCGGCTCCATGTTCCCCTAGGGCACTGCCGGTCAGAGGAAATCTCCCGGGAAGGTATCGGAGTATTTGGGCGAGTAGGAGTACTCGCCCAAATACCCGGTATCGACACCAATACTGATACTAGTATTGGTGCATACCTAATAAAATCCATACAGCCCAATCATACAGAGCTATTTATTCCAGACAGCATACAGCTCCTCTTTTTTTTTTTTTGCCCATGGACGTGCATCAAAACTTCCCCCTGTGAACAAAAAAAGTGAACCGTGAAATCACAGCACACAAAAACATGCACAAGGGTGCAAGGTCCTTCAAAAGAAGGGACCTACTTTCCCGACCCCCCGGGGCGCAAGGCTCCTGACAGGGGTTGAGACTGTTGGTCCACCAACCCGAAGGCCGGTGGACCCATTTCCTTCGGGGACCTGCCGAAACAGGTCCCTCACAGTACTAGGCAAGGGGGCTCTCCCGAAGAGAGACCCCCCTTCCTGGGTGGGAGGAGACAGAGAACCCCGTAGGAGGCACAAAATCTCCTCCCAGCGTCAGGAATAGGCCCCGAAGAAACCTGCACCTTTCGCATCTGTGGGTCAAAATTTAAAATAAAAAAGTGCCAAACGTGGATAGAGTGCTTAAATAATCTAAAGTGCCAGTGCACCACTCTGACAGACCTTAGGGGCCGGAGTGCAAAAATATTGCCCCAGACTAGCCATAAGGCCTGTCTTGGAGGCGAAGTGCAGAAAATTGCAATGTGGTGTGTGACCAAGTGCCAGTGAGTCATGTGGGGTCCCATACCCAAGTGACTTTCTGCGCACCCCTGGGACGCCACCCCCAACCCTCTAGCCTTGACCAAGCTTCGCACCCATTCTCTCAGGAGGCATTAGCACCTTCAGAGCCTCCTGCCTACAACTGGGGACAAGCCCGGCGTAACCGGACCAGAATCAACCCAGGAGGAAAGGAGGCCCCTCCAGTACCCACCAATCACATCAGGGTATACCGAGCATCTCTCCGTGCCGGTGGATCGATGCCTTTCTTCCCCGAAAACAGATAAGAACAGATACTACACTTGATCTTAGCCAAAAGGCAGAGAAGCATACAGCTGTTTCAGGCTTGATGGCCATCATCAGTGCAGTGTATGGAAACCATGGCTCCTATGGTGTAGCGAGTAACTAGACACTATAACCATACAGGTCATGGTGAGGTAGGCTATTCAAACCATCTTGTTGGTCCCCAAACCCAACTGTACCCCACTTTACTCTCCGCTGTTCTATCCGTGATGTACAACAACACAAAGGTCTGATTAATGAAGAAGAATTCATATACTGGGTACTTACACCGAGCCTGGACTTGACGTGGGAGGGGGACCTGCAAGAATCATAATGGATGGGTTAGATCACAAAATGTAAATGTTTTTTTATAATTCTAGCAGGACATGTTTTAGGACTATTTAAAGCAGAACTCCAGACAAATGTATATCACCATTTATTCTCCATTGTTAGAAATCACTATATGTGCGTCTACACCTGATACTATGCTTACCCGAGATAGTCATATTAATTGCCTATAACACCCACCCACCAGAAACGAGTCTGAAAGTAGGAGCACCATCACCATGAGCCGGCCAAGTTTTTTTGTAAACTCCACTGTACAGACATCTTGACATGTTGCAGGCATTGGAAGCAGGAATGGAAGTGCATACACGGGCTTACAAGAGGTGTAGAGCTCAGAGAGGATCTCAGATATGGTGTGATAACTCACTCATAGTCCAGCGAGAAGGCTGGAGGTGGGGAGGTGACACAGGAAGCTGCAGAGATCCTTGAACTAAATATTGATGACTCCTCTCCTGTACTGAAATTGCTCACCGCACACTGTGAGCTTCTCATTGTGTTCATTAGAAACTGCAGAAAGTCAGATAGAGCCTGCATCATTTCCTGGCTAGAGGACGTCCAGCATCATCTAGTGCACGGGTGGGCAACTCCAGCTGTGCTTTAACTAAAAATCCCATTAAGTCTCTGGGAGTCATGCCAATAACTTTCAGTCATGCAATGCCTCATGGGACTTGTAGTTCCACAACAGCTGAAATGCCAGAGTTGCCCATCCCTGGTCTAACGCTTTCCTCCCCAGCCTGACTGTCCCTGGCCCCCCTCCTTCATTCATTAGATTTTAGTTCTTTCAGTCATGGAGGTTCAGCATCACATGTAGACATTACCAGTGGCGTCACAAGGGGGGTGCGGCCCACACCCAAGTGACACCATTGGAGGGGTGACACCAAAATGACTCCCCCCTCTGAAAAGTCGGGCGCTCGGTCATGGACCGAACGCC